CTTTGTGGTGGCGTTCATGTGCGTTCAACTCGTAAATACGATCTATCCGACATGACTTGAACGCACCTTTAGACCTGATTGTTCCCACCTGTTACTGGTTACCTCTTTCGTCTCTACCTATATATACCCTGTTCCCTCATTCGGTAGTGATGGGAAACCGAGGTTTTCTGAACCGTTTGAGGCTTTCATCAAATTGCGCCGAAAAACGGTTTTTCTTTTTTTTCTTTTTTGCGCCGAAAACTTTTTTTTCTGTGGATGTTTCGATGAATTTTCGGATGCATGCTGTTAATGGGCCTTGCGGTGAAGTTTTGAAGACGTTTATTATTCATAAAAATAAATAGTTTGCTTTAATTCCCTCTGGTATATGCATTGTTTGTGTGTTAATATTACCTTGTAGTTTAGTTATTTTAATCCCAATCATTGAGATAATTGTGTGTGGCTTCATCTCTTGTAGAGACATATAAGGATTCAGAGAGTTGACACATTACCTGAGCTGCAGCAGTGCAACAAGTGTTACAGCAATTACCAGCAGTTTTCTGCTTGACCAGCATGTTTAAGCCAGCCAAACTGGTCAAATTAATAAGTCATCTTCAAATCCACTTCAACATGCAGTTGTCTGTGGAGGTATGAATATCTTGAGTTGTTTGTTTAATGTACTCACAGTTTTTCAAATCCACTTCAACAAGGCAGTGTCTGTGGAGATATGAATATCTTGAGTTGTTTGTTTAATATATGTACTCACAATATATTATTGCCTAACAGTTTACCTGTATACTTTATTTATTTTAGGCTATACTATACGTTTTTGCAGCCAATTATTGGTGTGATTATTTAGCTGTTAAATAAGGAACAAGGAAGGTTTTTTTGTGCCATTTACAAGGAGAATATTCTTATTTTTTGTTGTTTTCCAGTACCTCTTGTCTTGGGTGCACCCTTTGATTTTACATCTGTAAGTAGTTATCAGTTAAAGTAATTGACCTTTATGATGTTGTAGCAGTTGATATTTAAAGATTTCTCTATGTTTGTGTCTTCCAGTGTGACATTCCAATCATACGGAGATGGTGGACTCCAGATGGTTTTCTCTGAAAGGTACTGGACATTTCCTCCAGCACACCATTACATTTGCACCCCCTTCTGACCAATTTGAAATTAACCAATATACATGTATATTACAGTGCAGAAACCCTACAAGAGGCCCTTCCAAGTGGATAACAGGCTACGCTTGTGAGGTATGTCTCAAATCTATCTATCTATCTATCTATCTATACACATTAATAAGAAATATTAAAGTTACATTTTCCTTTAATATTCTGTAATGAAGGAGATCAACGGGCCTTCCCGCATGTACTATCAAGCCTCTGCAACTTATCCAGAATGCAGCAGCGAGAGTGGTCTTCAATGAGCCAAAAAAAAGCTCACGTTACTCCTCCTCATCAGGTTACACTGGCTACCAGTAGCTGCTCGCATCAAATTCAAGGTACTGATGCTTGCCTACAAGACAACCACTGGCGCTGCACAAATATACCTAAACTCCCTAGGTCTGACCTAAGCGCCCTTGCTAAGTGCACTGTGCTAGACTAACTGAAACTTGTCACAGCACTTGTATATTGTTGCTCTCTCATTGCCCTGATTGCTTCTACATCGTAAGTCCCCTCCAGAAGCTTGCGTTCTGCAAGTGAACGGCGCCTTGTGGTGCCATCCCAAAGAGGCTCAAAATCACTCTCACCGTTTCCTGGACTGTGCCCAGCTGGTGGAATGACCTCCCGATCTCAATTCGAACAGCTGAGTCTTTAGCCATTTTCAAAAAACATCTAAAGACACATCTTTTTCACCAGGACCTGACCAACTAATACTAGCACTTCCTGTTCTGTTCTATTCCATTATTATTTAAAACAAACAAACAAAAAAAAAAAACCTAGCTACGTGTACTGTGCTAGACTAACTGAGACTTGTCAAGGCACTTGTATACTGTTGTTGTTCTCTCCTTGGTCTGATTGCTTCTATTGTTCTCATTTGTAAGTCGCTTTGGATAAAAGCGTCTGCTAAATGATTAAATGTAAATGTTTGATATATTTTAATTTGAATTTATTCAAGATTGTCATGACAAAATGTGCCCAAGAGCGAATTGTTCATTTTGTAAATTTTCATGCAGGATTGTCATGACAAAATGGGCTTAATAGTGAATTGTCAATTTAATTATTGTGTACATTTTGATTGTTACTTTTAAAATTATGCTGCGGTTTGTGTGAGTGTGTTTTATTGAAATGTTTTCATATAGAAAAATGTATGATGCACGTGTTCTTGACTTTGGAGTAAACATTTATTTTGAATCTTGTGATTAAAGTATATTTTATATAAAATGCCCAGAAGTTTCAAACATTAGTTTTAATATCACAAACAGGAAATAACTCGCGTAATACAATGACACAAATAATTGTATAGGCATACAACTAAATTACACAAGATTAATGTTTATAAAATGCTTAATATATCATTATAAAATGCATATGTACATAAAGTATGATGTATCAGGTGTAATAAAAGCAAATCACCCCTTAAAAACCGTAAGGTGGCGCTACTCTGTTAATAACGTAAGCTCCACCCCTCACTTCCGGTCCTGTGGCTGCGCGGTTCAGTGTTGCCAGACGTACGATAATTATCGTATTTGTACGATAATGTAGGCCTCTGTACGATGTACGATCAATAATGAAAAAAGTCCCATAATGTACGATAATTTCAGAATTTTGTGAAACTTCAAATAATGGTCGTTGTAATCATAGAGCTTCTTCTATACTAATTAATCTAGCTGTGGATCCTACGTCTACCGTGCCCTACTTTTAAACGAGCACTATGTTGCGGTCCAGTACCGCCGCTCCCTATATGCAGAGTACGCAGTTTGCGTAGGGCACCAACTCCCGGGCTCGCACCTCATGTTTGCGGCTGAATGCAAATGATCATAATTGGACAACTATGCCGTGAAAAGACATCAGCAATCCGGCGCCGAGAAAAGAAAAAGAAAAAAGAAGAAGCCTGTGCATCACTTTCAGGCCTACATTCATAATCCTGTGAAACTTTTTTGGATGTTGACGTTAATAACGTGTTTTAATGTCGGTGATAATTTAACCACCAACAACTCATCTAATATTCTCTCACTTTCCATGTTCCCTTACAAAAATTAGCCATGGTTTTACGAATAAAACCAAAAATCATGGTTCTTGTAGCCATGGATGGTAACCACAAAGTAACCATGATTTTGTTACTTCATAGTTTACAAAGAAGTATTAAGATAATATTTTTTGTGGTTATAAAATCAGACCTAAGCCAACAACAGCCTTTAAAATGACTTAAAATGCATTATATAAAACAATGAGGCATTAATGATTGGTTAATTAAGTGGTTTCATTGAATAACACTGTTAAAATACATAATGTAATACAAAGTAAACAATTTATGTACATTACATATTATTACAAATGCTTGCAAAGGGAGCCAAAGGCCTGGTAACTGCTGCTGTTACACTTACTGGATGATCAAGTCCTTTAATAACCAAACATTTAATTCAAATATCCACTTAATCTTTCATTTTTGGCCACCTTTTTGCAAAAGAAAGGCGACAGCCTCAATAATTTCTTCAACAAAAACATGTGGACATCACAACCCTTACAAAAATTGGAGGTCCCCGACCCTCTAGATCAGTGATGGGCAAACTTGGCCCTTCCAGGCCACTTTCCTGTAGAGATTTGATCCAACCCTGATATGACTCACCTGCCTGTAGTTTTCTAGTAGTCTTGAAGACAATGATTAGCTGGTTTGATTAGGGTTGGAGCTAAACTCTAAAGGAAAGTGGCCTGGAAGGGCCAAGTTTGCCCACCCCTGGTCTAGTGTTACAATTGTAATTTGTAAATAATACAATATAATTACAATTTGTTTATTTGTTTACTTTTATATTTTATTAAAGTTCTGTTTTGGCCCCTATAGTATTTTTTATTTTTTTTTACATCCATAATATTTGGGGGAGGGGGTACAACAATACAGTTCTGCTTAGGGCACCCATTTGGTCAGCAGCGGCCCTGCGGCTGAGTATTGTAGTTAGAGCTACATTAACAGCAATTTTCTGATCATTTCAGAAAATAGCTTTAGCTATGTTGAATTATATTACTATAAATTTGCTTATTTAAGAATGTATGCCTTTTTATAATTATAATTTGAAGTTAATATAATGTAATTGATCATTTGATATTTGTATTTTTTATTTATACTGTATGATGGTGAATTTATTTTTCTTCATTTTTGAATTCTTGAAGTTAGGTTGCATATTCTTTGTTCTTGTTCTGCGT